ACCACTCGTCCACCAATCACCCGTCCACCAACCACGTACTTGCCTCCCTCAACTACCCGTAGGACAACAACGACTACTCCTAGGCCAACAACGACTACCCGTAGGCCAACAACGACTACCCGTAGGATAATAACCACACCGATTACCCGTAGGCCCACACCCAGTACTGTAGGACCAACGTATCTGCCTCCTACAAACAAACCCCAGCCCCCAGTAATTATTACCACCCGTAAGCCAACACCTCCGCCAACTCGTGCGAGCACCACTCGTCCACCAATCACCCGTCCACCAACCACGTACTTGCCTCCATCGACCACCCGTAAAGTAACACCTCCGCCAACCCGTACGACTCCAATCATAATTACCACCCAGAGGATAACGACCCCTAGGACCACCAGGACTATTGTGACAACACCGAAGCCGACCAAGCACGTGGGCTACGATTATCCAAAACCAAGCATTCCCTTTGACTTTTAAGCACCCGTACAGCAGCACAGTTATAGCCGTCGATGAATTCAACGACGCTCGAAAGGCAGATGGGTGACATTTCATTTCATTTTAATTGAAATATTATTGTCTGAGGGAGGGGATGCAATAACTGATGCTCTCTAAATATATCTAGCAATGCAAATGCCAACCATATCTATAGGGCTAGATACATCTAGTCAATGCAGTCGAAAAGATTTTTACAGCGTTTCATGAGGGTGCTCCAAATTGCGATACCACTGAAGCGTCAGCAAGAATTCAACTTGTTTGTTTTTATGAATTAATGAATCGCATACTCATACAATTAGGGATCACTGTATATGTATCTAACTTTTTGTAAACTTCTTAAATATGTACTATAATACGCTCTCTTGCTATGTTTTATGTCTCCCGTCTCAAGACTATTTAGCTCTATGTTCAAATAAAATGAAAACAAACACCATTTATAATCAATTGTAGAGACTCAACCAAACTGGGTTTATGAAATGTGGTTTCAATGCATATTCAATTGGACAACGGGAAGTGTTTTCAGCGCTTGCTATTATTATTATTAATATTAAGTTGTTGTTTTCTAAAGTTATGCTAAGAGCAGATAAAAGTCGCGTAAGGTTGAAACTTCAAAAAAGTGGATCGTATGACTTTATCGAAAGGTTTGTATTAGATGTGATGAATGAGACGTGACTCGAAATTTAGATGCATGATGAGCATTGCACGATGATTATGATGATCATATATAGGAATGCATGATCAAATATACATATAATGATTGTCGTATAAGGATGTTAGCACTGGCATGATATGAACTTAGATATGCATGCTGGTGTATATAATGATGATTAGCATAATGATGTTAGCACTGATATGATAAGGTCTTACAATATTTCAGGAGTTTTAGATGGAAGTTGATCTCTTTTATGTATGTTATATAAATATTCAAGTAAATTTAGTCCATCAACAATTTCAGTTCATCTGTCGAAATATCAACTTTTGGGCTAGTGTCAAATGTTGTTTAATTAGCCTTAAAACTATTTAAATTCGATAATTACTTTATTCAGCTTGACTTTGCACTCAATTGAGCAGAGTTTTAGGCACTTCGGCTAAGCAATTGTTGCTCGTTTCGGATTCTTTATCGCGTGCATGGCTCGGCGCGATCTTGTGCTGTTCATGGTGGCTGCCTTTGAAGTATCTCATTTTCTTTTCCACACCGAGATCGGGCGCACGAAATCATTTAGGCAATTAATTTATTTGTCTATTATTTTGCTTTCGTATGTTAAACTTTCTAATTAGCTGCTGAAGTGCAGCCGCAAGTTTTTTAGGGGCTGCTAGGCCGCAGCTGCAAGCAGTCGTCTTTGCGATTCGCGATGAGGAAGTCGCGTCCGGTGCGCCAACAGATACCGATATCCACAATTTTTACTGTGAAAAAATGTTTATAAAGCCAAGAGTGCAGCCGGAGCCCGACTTACACGATAAATCGCTGCGGGATCCACATCCTGCCAAAGGCGGCGCAAAGCAAAAGGCTAATAGCGGCCGCTGGCCACGGACTATGGGCCTGCTCTATGTGTACACAATTGTGAGACGAGTGCTATTAGATCAGTGCAGGGCGAATAAAACTTTCCATTTTACAGATGTCTCTTATGGTCGTCAAGGTCGCATCAACAGCAGCCTTATATCAACAGCAGCAACAGCAGCAGCAGCAGCAGCAGCAGCAGCAGTTACTCAACCAGATTGAGGGCCAGACGCTGTCGGAGACAACGCCCAGCACTGAAAGTGACGACAACTCGAGTCAAGAGGCGGAACGTTTAAACATTGAGAAGATGCGTGCCAAGTTGCAGCAATTGCAGCACGAGCAGCAGCAGCAATATCGTCTGCAGCAGCAGCAGATGCAGCTGCATCTGCAGCAAATGCAACAGCAGCTCCACCTGCACGCCAACGATGTGGAGGATCTGGAGGTGGAGAGTGGCACAGGTGGTGCTAGTGGTGTTGGTGGTGGTGCTGGCGAAACTGCCTACTTATTGGAGCGTGCCGACGATGTTGCGCCCATTTACGGAACATGGCGCACGAAAGCGAGACGACCCCAGCCGCCAGGCGTCGGCAGCAGCAGCAGCAACGGCAACAGCAACGGCAACGGCAACGGGCTGCAGCACGCAACGCCTGATGATGGCGACGCTGGCGATAATCATCTGTATGAGCGGCTGCCTAAGCGAGCCGTCACCATGACGCCGCTGCGTGATCTTTTGCGCGATCAGCTGCCCCGCCCACCGCGCCTCTCCACGCAGCGGCCGCCCTCATCGGCGGCGGCGTTGCTGCGGCGCCAATACTCCGAGACGCCAGGCACGCTGGCTATGCGCGATGATTACAAGCCGAAGCCGTTTCACTTTCCCTTCGACGGTCCGCTGCCGGAGCAGTTCAAGAAGGGCGAGGCGGAGCGCCTGAACAACATCCAGGACATCTTGCACAACATGCACATCAACAATCCGCTGCCCAGCAAGATGCCCGGCCTGGTCATGATGCCCACCGGGCTGCACATTGCGGGCAGCTACAAGAACCTCAAGTCCAGTGGCATAGCCAACTTCTTTCGGGGCAAGCGCAGCAAGAAGCAGATGCAGTTCAGCATTCCGCTGCCCATGTTTCCCATGGGCGTGCCGATGCCCCTGTACCCAGGTGCGCCACATCAGCGCGTAGCCATCGAGCAGCTGTATCCATATAAGCCGCGCTCCCCACAGGACATCAATTTGCTGGCCCTGCAGCAGGCGCCCGTTAGCAAGCCCAGCTCCAAGAAGAAGCACAAGAAGCAGAAGCAGCAGCAGCAGGAGCAGAGCAACTACAACAACATGCTGCTGGAGCACGGCAGCCAGCAACACTTCTTGGTCGACCCATTTCTGCAGAGCTTTCCGCCCATCATAGCGCTGAATGCGACGCGCCAGCCGCAGCACAAGCGCATTCCCTTCAAGGTGAACCTGGACATCTACCCGGTGCTGCCACCCTCTAGGCCCACGTCCGTGCTGCGCAGTCCCTACCCGAGCGACTACGCAGTGCCCACAGCCGGTGCGCTGGCTGCCTCGCCGGGCTCCATCTATGCGCAGCCGCAGCTGCAGCAGAGTCTGTACCAGACGTCCTTCAAGTTCCCCACGCAGCCGCCCAGCCACCTGCCCATGATCTTTCCCGATCAGTCCATCCGCTACAGCCAGCAGCAGGCAGTCTACCAGTCCGGCAAGTATGCGCCGCAGTCCCAGCAGAACGATGACTGCGTCTATGGCCCAGCCGTGAGCAGCAGCAGCGGCAATGCCAATAGTGGAGCCGTGGAGAGCAGCAGCAATCAGATAATGCTGCATCTGAATGTCTTTCCCAAGCAGAAGCCTTCGCCAGTGGTGCGCGCCTCCACCAATCCCTTTTACAATCACAACTTTTCGGGCTTGCAGCGCAATACTTTCAGCGCCAGCGACCGGGAGCAGCCACTGCCCAAGCCACCGAGTCCCGTCGAGCCGCGACAGGTGTCTGCCACACAGTCACAGCAGCAGCAGCAGCAACCGCAGCAGCAACAACAGCAGCAGCAGCAGCAGCAGCAGCAGCAACAACAGCAGCAGCAGCAGCAGCAGCAGCAGCAACAACAGCAGCGGCAGCAACAGCAGCAACAGCAGCAGCAACAGCAGCAGCAGCAGCAGAACCACACTCAACAACAACAGCAACAACAACCTGTAAATCAACCGATTTCACGCAGCGACAATCTCTCGCTCATTGACTTTGAGCATCCCATTGTCGCAGCCGAGGTGCCGCAGCCGCCCCAATTACCGCAACCTGCTGCATTCACCGGCCACCCAGCTCTGTCCTCCAATTATGGAGGACGTTACAGCGTTCAAGGCGAACATATTCGCTATCACAAGAATCCCGATCAACTGGCTGCCGAGGCACAAACAGCTTCGCTCTTTCGCTTTCCCGTTGAGGATCTGATACAGTTCCAGGTGGATGATGCGCTCTAAATCGTTCTAGTTGTAGGACTTATCTATATAACAATATGCATATAATAAATACATTAAATATTTTTAGTGTTTATATCAAAACGAGAGTTGCTTTTTGAACAGGATAGATTTTGCGAGAGAGAGAGAGAGAGAGTGAGAGAAAGAGAGAGAGAGATAGAGAAGGAAATCTGCTTATGGGAAAACGGAAAATCATAGAGATCCATTCACTTTACGATTTCCTTATATGAACTGGACTAATTGAGAGTCCCTTTACCTTAAACTGGAACTTGGCTTGATTTAGATTTTGTAGTTGTTTAAAAATTGGAGAGTTCTTCACCTGAAATACTTTTTGATTTAGATTTAAGCTAAAATTTTGCTGCTATTTTCAATTTTTTAAAATTCATTTTTTCTTCCAATTTTCCAACTGGATATCTTATATTTTCTACATTGGCTCTCATAGCTCCGCTTTGAATTTCTCATTGAATAACAAAAATGTGTAGCATATTTTAAGGCTGCCGCAGAAAATGAACTACGTCAAATTTCCACGCCGAGTGTGTACACACTGGCGCATATTTCATTGCCACTCGTTTTGCGCATGCGCGAAATGTGTATCAAAACAAAACCGGCGACAGGCACGAAACCAGTATTTACCACTGTTTGGCCGAATCACGCACGCCGTTGGCCAGCAAAGAACGCGAGTAGCAGCATTGGCTCAACAGGTAAGACGGCCAGATCGACAGAAGGTGAGCGAGCGTCGCGTCGTTAAGACGTTGCTGCGGTTTAAAAATTCGTCGGAAACAGTCGGCAAAAAAAAAGCCAACGACAAAAAAAAAAAAAAAAAAACAAGCGCAAAAAGTAAAGCAACAAAATATATATTCGGAACAAGAATCGGGTTTTGTGCCTGGTGTCATAGTTGAACGTTGTTGGTATTTTTGCGCGTGAACAAAAGTGAAATAATCATTTAATAAGTGTAATAACGGTTAAGCTAATTAAGTGAGAGACAGAGACAGAGATAAAGAGGCAATGTGAGTTGAGAGCTAGACCCTAGGCATCCGCAGTATTATGTTTTATGCGCTGCTTCCTGGCCATTACCATTTTAGTTCTTTTTGTTTTTTTTTTTTTTTTTTTTTTTTTTTTTGCCTTAACTCTATCTGACCACCTGTCTATGTTTTTGCTCGTTGTAGATACTTATGTATCTGCACGCTACGCCAGCGCAGAGAGCAACCAGTTCTGTATTCTGCGCTTATTTATTTGAGCTGCCTTTTTGCACATTTTGGTGTATGCATGTATGTGTGCGTGTGTGTGTGCGTGTGTGTTAGCTTGCTTTCTTTGACTTCCCCATGCTGTGTGCCTCATTCCTCATTCCYCATTCTCCAGCTGCGAAAGAAAGCCAATCGTTAAGCGCCTCAGCGCCAAATGATTGGAGCATCATCAGCAGTCGCCTCATCATCATCATGTGCCACTTTTCACATGCGCATAAAGTGAAATTGGCAGCTGAATCGAATTTCTTTTCTAGAATTGGTCAAATATTTGTTTTTGTTTCTGTTTCTGTTTTACAACTCTGCAGTATTACAAGTTCAGCGCACGGTTTTCCGCTGAGCGAGCACAAATCTGTGCATCTGCAGCAATTGCTGCCGTTGCATTGCAGCCATAGCCAAGGTCGAATGGGCGGATGGGCGGATGGGCGGCTAACATTGACTGAGTTTATGAATTGTTTTTCGATTTTAGCTGTGCTTAACATAAACTTGTCTTTAGCTCTCTATCTCACACTCTCCCTCTCTCTCTCTCTCTCTCTCTTTCTCTCTCTCTCTCAAAAGAAATTCGACAGTGAATATTGTGCTAGATGTGCTAAACACTTAAGTAAATACAACCGAAATACTGCCAAGCTAACGGATATATATAGTTAACGGCATTGGAATTAGCAACGGCAACATGTTGCTGCCGTCGCTAATGTGTCTGCCGCTGCTGCTGCTCTGTGGCTGCGGCTGCCTGGCCGGCGCACAGCTGCTGAATCATCCGCCGCACTTTGTGCCCAGCTCGGGCGACATGTCCCGCTTCAGCCTGTCGGAGCACACGCCAGTGGGCAGCCCCGTCTATCAACTGAAAGGTAAGTCGTGGCTGCATTGTGCACTGAGGTCAGCCAGTGGACAAACCCATGTTTCATAATAAACAGACAGTGGTGCTTACAGTGTGTGCTAGACTTAGAGATACCCTGTAATAACATCTATGGGTCAAGATAACTAAGCTGCGAAGATACTATGATAGAGCTAGCCAGAGCAGTGCTTCTTTGGCAATGTTTCTATGTAAGGTATAATAGTTGTATGATACCCTAGCTTTAACTGGAAAGGGGTATATCATAGATCCAGCTTCATTCTTTTAATTATAGAATATTTATCTAGTTCTTTGATTGACACATGAAATTTCATAGTCAATATACCCTCTGTCATCCATTTACATCGCATACAGGGTATACAGGCAGCAACAATAGCCCCAATTCTCACATTATGTACGGCCAAAACCTTTCACAAAAAAACTAAATTAATTTTAAGACAATGTTTTTTGGCCTAAAACTCGCCGAGTCTCTCTATATAGTCTCTATATACATATATATTGATGTGTGTGTATACACATACATACATACATACATCATAATTGTATTGCGCTTTTGGCCTGGTCATTTGATAGTTTAATTATATTTTTGTTGTAATTTGACTTTTGTGTGCTCGAAGTCTCGAATTGCCTCTGCTGACTTTCATTTCGCGACTCGAGAAGCGGGTCGGCGGGGGACATTGTCTATATGACCATAATTGAAATATTAAGCGCTTGGCTCGCCGCAACGCCACCTACTTTTGGCCAACCTTGTGCAGAGTATTAATTTTTTCCCATTTATTTTCCCATTTATTTATTCGTCTTGTTCATAGTTTCATTTTGTTTGCTCGCTCGCTGAAGTGTGCCTCGACATGTTCGTTGCATGTTGCGATAAGCGCTAAGTAATGTCAAAATGATAATACGTATGTCTTGCATGCCTGGGATTGCATTCCGGTAATCAACATGCAGTCGTGTAGCCAGAACCCCAAAAACAATGCCAGCAGTTACMTACACATGTATCTCTGTCTGTCTGTATGTGTGTGTGTGTGTTTGTCTGTGTCTTTTGTATCTGTGAGATAGACAGAGGCGGAAATGCATTTGAACACGTCTGTGCGTAGCAGTCGCGATAGCAAGGCAATCGCGTCGATAACGATGCCAATTATTATGGGAATCTGGCGTGTGGCCAAGTCTGCATTAGATGCAAATGTTGGCCATTATTGATATTGGCCACGCGCTCACTTTTATCCGCATAGAATCTGGCGACACTTTTACTTTGCTAAGTGCAGCCAATCAATTGAAAGTGGCAACTGTTGTTGTTGCTGTTGTTGTTGTTGTTTTATTGCAAATGTCGTAATCGCAGACTTTCGCAATGGCCAAGGAGCTGGCTCCACTGAGTTGCGCTGGGCTGGGCTAGGCTCGTGGCAGCTGCAACAGCTGCTTGGCTTATACAACAACAATAGCTGCCTGAGATTGCATCGGTTGCATCTTCGTGCCGCTTTCGAGTGTGAGCTTTTGTTTTTGCTCCACCTGCTCCACAAAATAATGCCCCGTTGACACCTTAGCCCAGTTATGGCTGCGGCCTGTAATTTGATGCGCCCAACGCAACAGCAGCAGCAGCAGTGGGCCAGACACCAAGGCAGACAACTTTCATGTAACATATTTATAAATGTATCTTGTATCTGCATATTTTATGTACATATATCAAATGCATCTGCGCTTCAATGAAGAGCTCACAATTCAACTTAAAGGTTCAAAATGCAATCAAGTATTTGCATTAACTTGGGAGTTGATACTCAGCCGAGTGCTCATTGACTTGTTCATATGTGTGTGCGTGTGTGTGTGTTGTGGCTGGGTGAGCGGTCGCCCAGCCAGTTAGTTTTGCAAGCTGCATCCGTGAGATAAACGTCGTCAACAAAAAAAAAAAAAAAAAAAAACACGTTTAGTCCAACAATTTGCAGCGCGCTGCGTTTGAAATTAAGAGTGCCATAAATTCACACACATACACATAAATGTCTATACACACACACACAAATTGAAAAATTGGCAGGCATACAAAACACTGTCTAAACTGTGAGCCAGGAAGCAGCCAAGACCCCAATCGACTCGACTCGACTTGGCTTGGCTCTATCAGCTGCATAATTTGTGATTGCAATTTTCGACAGGCAATCATCAGAAAAACCAACATTTCTTGCATCACACGGCTCGCTGCCAATAGGCCAATCGGCTGGACCAACTGGCTGCCATCGGCCGTATATGCGGTAAACAAACAAACATGTTGCAGCTCTCCCCTTGGCTTTGTCTGTTTTACATGCAAATTGGTCAGTGGACAAATCAAGCGATAATAGCGGCTAATCAATAAATGAAAATGGGACAAAAGACTGCGGCTCAGGGTCGTGCTTAACACATATAAATATATGTATGTTTGTATATATTTACATATATCGAGTTTTCCTCAAGTAAACCTTCCTTTTATCAAGAACTAGATTTTTTGTTTGAGCTTTGATTTGATTTATGTGTTTTTTTTTTTTGGAACCAAGCATTGTTGTTTAGCATTAGTATGTTTATATATAAACATTAGGAAACATTTATTTAAATGTATTTAAATTGTCTTCATTCGTTCTTTATATCAACATTGGACATTTTTATAGGTCTTCTTATTAGCAGGCGCCGCTCTTGATGGCCTTGCTACGGTTGCTAAGCTGTAACCACTTGATACGCGCAAAAGAAGGCGTAGCCAGTGTCCAAACATCAATTAATTTAATGTTCAAATATTTAAAATAAATACATTATTTTAAAATATTTTTTATTTCTCTTTGAGCCATTAGGATTGAAGTAGAGTTGAAAGCATTTAATAATCCAATTATTCGAAATGTTTGCTAAGCTATCAATGGAAGGCAAGAAAAGTAATCATTGATGAGACACTACATATAAAAACATTTTATATATTTTTTAAAAGTTTTTATTCATTTCAATTGCCTTGTCTAGTCCTTCAATTAAATTGAACAGCATTGCAATAGTAGAAATTTCCTCACCCCAACATATTCTCATTTTGATCTTTTTGCTTCTCTTCTACAAACTATACCATATTTTAGTATTAAATTTATATTCAAATATTAATCTAAAACCTTAATCAGCCAATATATAAATTATTTTTACAAGCTAAATATACCCTTAAAATATATCTTTGTTCAAGCCGCAATAAAAGTTTCCTAACTTGCATGATATTTGGCCATAAACAATTTTACTTTCTATGCGCAATTATTAAATTAAATGAAGTTAAAAATATAAACAACATAATTAAGCAAATGGCGTGCTGTAATTATTTTGACTCCAAACACACAAAACAGAAAAGTAAAACCCAAAACAAACGCCAAATGAATAATTGCTCAAAAACGTGTAATACAGTGCGGGCGTTTCTTTCTTTTCGTTTTCGCCTTCTTTTTTTCGCTGTGTGTCTAATAAATAGCAAAATATTAACAAATACGCTTCGCAGAGCATGAAATCACAGAAATTGCTTAGACCCAGTCGCGACTCTCCCACTTGCAACAACTCGGACACACATGCTGCGTGTCATAAGGCAAAAAAGAAGAGACGAAGAAGAAAGGAAAAACATCAAGTGAAAAGTAGAAAAGTCCAAATATTTTTCAACATTGAAAAACTTGGATAATTGTTGCTATTACTGAGCTCTGTTAGGCCTTCCCAGTTTGTTTTTTGCTATTGTTGCCCCCCTCCTCCAACCAGATGCCTTATGTGGCAGCAACAACAATCGTTTGATATACCAAATTCCAGCACCAAGACATACGCAATTCGTGTATATGAGAAATCACATGAAAATATGTGTAAGACCCGAAAAAGAAAAACTAGAAAAATGATTATGTACATTAAAAGTGGGCACTCACGCGCCAATGGAAGAGAGGGAGGGGGAAGGGAGCAGACGCAGGGGCAACAGTGGAGAATGCGACTTGAGGCAATGAAAAAGATTCGGGTTGGCGACCGCAATTGGTAAGTTGTTGGGTGTGTGTCGAGTAGAGAGTAGTATGCTGTATAGAGAACGTGTTGTTTGCTTCCCGCTTTGTGGCTGTGCTGCAATTGTCGGTCGCCGTCTGTCCCTCTGTCCCTCTCTTCCTCGGCCCGTTTTCAAAATGGTTAAAGCAAACTTGAAAACCTGAAAAGCCATCGGCCGTCTGTCCTCTATCGTCTGTCGTCTGCTGTGTGTGCCAAAAAAAGTAGTTTTCCAGACTGACATGGGGTTTATTATGGTTTGTCTTTCGGTTGCTCTGCTCTGCTGGGATCATTTGTTTTCTTTCTGTTGGCCCCAGCCACTTCATTCAAAAGAATTTCTAATGTTTTTTTTTCGTGTTTGCCCCCAAGCTGCGTTTTAGTTTCCTGCATTTGAGAAACCTCTCAAAAAAATAGGCAGAGAGGCAAAAGCGAAAGAGAAACTGGCCAAAGTAGAGCTGCTTGTAGTAAGCCCCATATTCATATTCAGTTCAGTTGACCCAACTCCCAGACTTAGTTGCATAGCTTAGCTCCATTTCCACGCCCAACTAAACTGCAAAACTCGAATGGAGCAGGCTGTGGGAACCTAATTAGCATTTTTCACACGCTTAAGCATAACCCCGGCCCAGAGTGTCAGATGTTGTAATTAAAGCAGTGAGCGTGTCGAGCAAAATGGGAAGTCGACAAACAGCTTTTACTACTGCAATGCCTCACACGACTACCCACACGCCTAGCCCCGCCGCCTAACTGACTTTAACTACTTTGTTACACATTTGAAGGCATCGACCCGGAGGGTGGACGACTTAAGTACAGCATATCTGGGCCAGTTTTCTCGGTGGATCGTGAGACGGGCGTGGTGCGGCTGCGCCAGGAACTGGATCGCGAGACCCAAGATACCGTTGAGGTGATTATCAGCATCACCGACGAGGGCGTCTATGGCACAGAGCCGAACACGGTGTCCCAGCGCCGGGAGATTCCGGTACGCGACTACAACGACAACCAGCCCACATTCCTCGGTCGTCCCTATACGGCCAGCGTGAGCGAGTCCCTGCCCGTGGGCTCCGAGCTGACCGTGGAGCCACCGATCATAGTTGTGGATCGCGATGAAGGACTGAATGCGGAGGTGCAGATCAAGTGTGTGCAGGTAGGTCAGATCTAAAGTAGACTTGGCTCTACCTTAACTCTCTCTCTCCCTCTCTCTCTCTCTCCCTCTCTCTCTCTCCCTCTCTCTCTCTCTCTCTCCCTCTCTCTCGATTCCCTCTGCCAGGAGAACGACATTTGCGACATCTTTGAGGTGCGCGCTGTCAAGCTGAGCGATGGTAACTTTACCGCGAGGGTTGCTCTAAAACAAGCTCTAGATTTCGAAAGCCGTCCCTCGTACATCATGTCGATCTCAGCCTCGGATAGTGCCATAGAGAACCGCCTCACCTCATTCGCCACTGTTTCCATAAATGTCATCGATGTGCAGGATCAGGCGCCCGTCTTCACCAATGCCCCCTACTCCGCCACTGTGGCCGAGAATACGCCCGCCGGCGTGAGCATATTGACCGTGAAGGCAATCGATGGCGATGTGGGCATACCAAGGGATATCTTCCTCTCGCTGGAGGACGAGCCCTTCGGGCACTTCGAGCTGGTGCCCTTTGGCGATGCCAAGGAGGGCACGGCTATACTGCAGACCACAAGCGAGCCGCTGGATCGTGAGAATCCAGATATACTGCAGAATGGAGGCGTCTATGTCTTCTCCATAAGAGCGACCGAGCTCATAGACGGCGCCATACCCGCCGAGTTCTCGGTGACTCGAGTGACCATCGTTGTAACCGACGTGGACGATCACCGGCCAGAGTTCAGTGCCTCGCACTTCAACATTTCAATTGCCGAGAACCTGGCGAATGGGATGCCTCTGCCGGGCCTCTCCATATTCGTGGATGATCGTGACATGGGCGAGAACAGCCGCTATCAGCTCAAGCTGCAGGACGTCTCCAAGGCAGCTGGCGTATTCGCCGTATCGCCCACAGAAGGGCAGGGCCGAACACCTGTCGTGGTCAAAGTGCTCGATGCCAGCCAGCTGGACTATGACAATCCCGCGCAGCGCAAATTCGAGTTCGAGTTGGTGGCCACGACCCACGGCGTGGAGCAGGCAAAGGCTCGCGTGGAGGTCCACCTGCTGGATGCGAACGATAATGCGCCCGTGTTTCGCCAGCAGACGTATCGCTTCACAGCTCCCGAGAATCTGACGAGCGACTCCCTGGTGGGCATTGTGAATGCCACCGATGCCGATTCAGCCCAGTTTGGCCACGTGCAGTATGTGCTCAAGGGCTTTGGCGCCGACAACTTCTACATTGATCCAGAGACCGGGGGCATCTATCTGCTCCGAGCCCTGGACTATGAGAAGCAAAGCACCTATAGCCTGACCGTGGTCGCTGTCGACGGCGGCGGTCGCGAATCGAATGCCAATCTCTACGTGGACGTGCTCGATGTGAACGACAATCATCCGCGCTTCGAGAGCAACGAGTACAGCCGCACGATCCGAGAGGGCGCCTCCATCTTCGAGCCGCAGTTCTTTGTGCGCGCCCACGACGCAGACGGACCCAGCCAGGGAAACGGCAGGGTGAAGTACGCCATTGTCTCGGAGAACAGCATAGCTGGCAATGTGTTCCGCATTGAGCCAGACACGGGCGAAATAACGCTGCAGAAGGCAGCCAGATCCATGGACACGGAGCGTGGCGAATACGAGCTGGTCGTGTCTGCCACAGATTTTGGTAGGTTTTGAACACTATCAAGCGAATTCTTGTATATCTCTATATAACCTACTTATTTCCAGGCATTCCCCCACTGTCTAATACCACACGTGTTCTGATACGCGTTGGCATCTCCGGCAATCAGCGACCCATTTTCAAGGGTCACTTCCAGAATGTGGAGAACCTGCCAGTGATTGGCCCGCCCAGCTATCGCGTGTCCATACCAGAGAACGCTGCTCCAGGCTACAATGTGACGACAGTCTCTGCGCACGATCCGGACGGCCTGGACAGCCTGCTCCGATATCGCATTGTGGGCGCCAACGACAACTTCCAGATCAATGAGTTGTAAGTCCAAGTCTAAAACTTAGTTTAATCCCAGATCTCATGCTCATCTTCCTGTCCTCAGCTCCGGCCAGATCACAGTGTCGCCTCAAGCGCGCATTGATCGCGATTTGAACATGAATAGCTTTGAGATCATTGTGAATGCCGTGGACTCTGGCACGCCCATACCGGAAACGGCAACCACAACGGTCTACGTGAATGTGAAGGACATCAATGATGAGAAGCCCAAGTTCGAGCAGAACAGCTATGCCGCCTATGTCTCCGAGCGCACAGTTGTTGGCGAGAGCGTGCTGCGAGTCAAGGCTATCGATAAGGATCTCAATTCGCGGCTGGAGTACAGTCTCCAGGGACCCGTTCAAGCCACCACCAAGGCGGGCGTGAGCATAGCCAATCGCAGCAATTATCCCGTGCAGGAGGCCTTCCGGGTGGACAAGCAGAGCGGCGAGATCTTTGTGAACAGCACGCTGAGACACGATGTGGCAGCCATCATCATCTTCACGGTGGCTGTGCGAGACTTGAACGCTGAGGTGGATCCGGAGAAGCAGGTGGACACCACTGAGGTGACGGTTTATGTGCAGTCCTTCAAGGACAAGGATCCTGTGTTCAAGAATCCGGGCTGGAGTAGCTCCCGCCCCGTTGTCAATGTCAAGATCAAAGAGGAAATGCCCATAGACAGCGCGCTATTCATACTGCAAGCCGAGGATCCGGTTACCGAGCAGCCCATAACCAGCTTTGAGCTAGTCACACCCAAGGAGCTGGAGTACTTCCACATCTCGGAGCGCACAGGCGAGGTGATTCTGAAGAAGCGCTTGGACTACGAGGCGCTGGCGGAGTCGGGCAGCGCAGAGTTCGAGCTGCAGGTGCGTGCGAACAGCGCCGATCGCCAGCGCAGCACCATCAGCCGGGTGAACATCACAGTCGAGAATGTGAACGACAACAGTCCGATCTTCGATCAGAGCTCCTACCATGCCACCATCATTGAGAACAAGGGCCACCCGGAGCCGGTGCTGCAGGTGAGGGCGCAGGACAAGGATGCCGCCCTCAATGCACGCGATGAACGTTTGGGCTATCACAAGATCATCTACTCGCTGCAGGGCGAGCACGCAATGCTCTTCGAGATCAACAACCTAACCGGACAGATCATTGTGGCTCGCAATCAAACCATCGATCGAGAGCGCACGCCCTCCATTCGCCTGCAAGTGAAGGCGGAGGACTCGCCGGGCAAGCCCACTGATGCCAAGCAAAGCGTTGTGGAGCTGCTGATCGATGTGCTGGACGTGAATGACAATGCACCCGAGTTTACCAAGAAGGTTTACAGCGCCGTCATACCGGAGAATGCTCTCAAGATGGAGACTGTCCTGCAGCTGGAAGCCACCGATGCGGACGAAGGACCTGGCGGCGAAGTGCGCTACGAGCTGGTCAATGAAGGCGATGCCAATGGACTGTTCAGCGTGAATGCCCAGAACGGACTGTTGACCACACGCCGCAACCTGACGGGCAAGGGCCGTGCCGAGGCCTATGTGCTGATCGTGCGCGCCCAGGACAATGGCAGTCAGGTGCCCAAGCAGTCCAGCCTGTCCACAGATGCCGAGGTGCGCATATTTATTGGCGATGTGAGCGCCAACGATGGTGTGCCATACTTTGTGGCGCCTCGAGTGGGTCAAATGGCAAATGTGACAGAGGTAAGTGGAGCTGGGATGGCTTGAAGAGAGATTGAACTAATTTCGCATCTTCCGCCAGAATGCGGCAGTCGGTGCTCCGGTCTTTCAGGTGATTGCCTCGGATCCGGATGATGACAGCACGCCCTCCGGCACCATCACCTACCGCATATTGCCCGACACACCCGACGCTGAGTCCTTTGCCATAGACACGCACACGGGCCTGATAACCACACGAGAGGAGCTGGATCGCGAAGAGAAGTCCATGTACAAGGTGCTGCTGGAGGTCAGCGACAATGGACAGCCCAAGCAGTCGGTGACGCGCATACTGAAGATCGAGGTGCTCGACGTGGACGATCATGTGCCCCGATTTGCCAGAGAGATTGTGAGTTACGAAATATCCGTTAAATTTCTCTTGCTAAAAGTCAACTCCCAACAGGATGCGGGACCGATACCCATGCACGTGGCCGAGGAGCAGCCAGCGGGCACAATTGTGGGCAACTTCAGCGCCATTGACGAGGACATTGGCGAGAATGCGGCGATTGACTATGCCATCATCGAGGGCAACAACGAGCAGCTCTTCACCATCGAGCGGGATAACAACAGCCTGGCCATATTGAAGACCAGCCAGCCCATTGATCGCGAGCAGGTGGAGTCCTTTACGCTGACTATCAAGTGCCTGAAGCTGGGCGAGCCGGCGTACAAGTATATAGGCGATGCTTACGACCGGCAGGATCCCTCGCATCTGCGCATCACCGTGCGGATTCTCGACCTTGATGACAATCTGCCCAAGTTCGAGAATCCCGACTCCACGGTGGGCATACGCATCAATGTGCCCATCGACACGGTGATTACCACGCTGCGTGCCACCGACGCGGATGCCGAGGCAGCGCCCATCGCGCTCTCCATCAAGAACGTGACGTTCGTGCCGCAGTTCTACAAGCGCAGCCGGAAACTGGCCACGGGCAACCTGCAAACGCTGTTCACCCTCAACAACCGGACGGGTGAGCTGCGCACGGGCGGCTCCTTTGCCGACTACGTGGACGGCTATTTCCAGATGCGCATCTGCGCCAACAACTCGGCGAAGGCCAAGCGGCAGACGTACAGCAACATCAAAGTGTTCGTCATACGGGACAAGTCGCTGCTGAAGTTTGTCTTCGCACGGCCGCCGAACGAGATTCAGCACAACATACGACCCTTCCAGGAGCAGCTGCAGAAGAAGCTGAAGCCGCTGGGCCTGGAGCTGCACGTGCTGGACACGCAGGTGTTCACGCGCGCGGACATGAGCCTGGACTTTACGGCGACCAGCTCGTGCTTCCAGATGTTCCGCAACGGCGCCGCATTGTCGCTGAGCGAAATGCAGAAGCTGATGAACTCCAAGGAGCTGCGACACGAGCTCATCGACATCTATGCGGCGTACGGCGTGAGCGATTTGGAGTCCTGCTCGGTGCGACGCACCCACACGGCGGCTCTCTTTGGCAATCTGCTAATGTCGGCGGGCGCCTGGCTGGTCATACTGGCGGCACTCATAGGCATCGCGGCGCTGGTCTCGCTCTGCACCGCCTGTTGCCTGAGAAAGAAGTGAGTGTGAGAGAGAAAGAGAGAGAGAGAGAGGGAGAAAGAGAGAGAGAGTGCATCAATTGAATATACATTTTCTTTCACAGATTCAAGCGCTATAGCAAACGCAGTCTGCAGGCAAGTCTGCGCACGCCCACAGAGCATACGCCCACCTCGTATAGCTACTCAATGCCCGCCGTGCTCTACTCGGAGCCCATCTATGGACCCTTGTAGCCCCCACTCATATTCTGCACGGCCAGCCGGCGGCAATACTGAACAACTCAATTCTAGTAAATTAGTGCTCAAGACTCGAGACCCAAGCCACGCCTGACCATATGATCTATAGGTAGAGCTCAGAGCGGCTTGGGCAGAGCGGGTCCCAAACAGTCCATACATAAGCATAAGCATAAGCACACTATGCATGTGATCTAGTATGTACATAATATACGACTATGTATAGAGTATATAGAGTACATCTGTGTAATATTAACTACTGTATAAACTCGTCGACAGCGAAACTTTTAGGCTTAAGTTCTCTTATAAACTAGCAAAAGCGAATCGAAAGTCATTTTAATTTTATGTGTGTCATCTGCTGAAGAGATTTATGCAGCGCCTGAAATAAATAATATTAAATAAATGACATATATATGTAAAATTATATCTTATCTTTATTCTCTGGCAAATGCGTAACAAGTGCAAAATAAATATCAACGCAGTTCTCAACAGGAATTTCCACATCCTTTTGCACGCTTCAACTTGACGTGCTCAAACTAAAACTAAATACATATATTTATTTATGCATATGTTATGTGTTATGTATTTAGTTAGCTTTTTTTTTTTTTTTTTTTGAATGTGAACATGTGTGCAAATAAATTGTATCTACAATAAAATACACGAATACTTTGTTATACTCCGTGGACATGCAAAGCGATACGGCGCACTTAAATGTGTGAAAGCAAGTCAACAAAACATTCTACTAAATAGTCTAGCTTATGGCTGACTTTTGGGGTCTATAATGTGCCTGATATAACTAACTGTTATCATGTTATAATTAACTTGGTTTTAGCAGCTAAATATAGACAAGAATTTGGTTGCCTCAGTGTCCTTGACTGGACCAAGATGACGGCAGGACACCTTGAGATTTATTTCTTGTCCATCCTCAGTCAAGGTTAAAGGTGCTCATATTGAAACAAGGCTAATTGATTCTTAGTTTCTGCATATTCTTACACATGATACTTTGAAGTGCATAAATCATTTGCCAAGAAGAACTTTTGGCATCCTAAATGGTTAACACTTCGAGTGCGGGTTGCTGTTTAAAAATATATGCATGCACATATATTGATATACATACATCATCAATGAAATTTACATTGCATTCGTTTACAGCTTCAAGTTTAAATTCCTTTAATACTCAATGAAATATCATTCATTCCAAGACACATATTCCTATAGAAAACATCTAATATTAATGAATTAAATAAGCAAATGCGTATTCCAATTAAAATCTGTGTGCTTGTTTTAATTGCAAATGGGAATTTTCAATGGCAAGTTGTAACGTCTAACAATTTATATTTTATATAGAAAAAAAAAAAATGAGAAAAAAAACCCATAAATAATAAATGTTGTTAAAACTAATGTGCGGCGCTCATTAGCCTCAGGCTGAGCTCCTTGGCGAGWGCTGCAAGGGATGATGATGATGCTGCTGGTATACAAGGGTGGCAGTGTGTGTGTATGTGTGTGAGTGAGTAGATGAACTGATCAGGGGTTGCTGTTTCAGGGCAGTTCAAGCATTATAGTTAACTGTAGCTGCCGCTGCTGCCACATCTAACGAGTTATTTTTATAACTTTTTAAAACGCAACAACAACAACAACAAGAATAACGACAGCAACATAGTCAACATCAGCAAATCAAGTGTAGTCAGACTGCACTTTTATGAGGGTTGTCTTTGGCCTGTTTAATTACAGCAATATATATATAGAGAGAGAGAGAGGTTTTGCCTGTTTCAAAATACTAGCAGAATTTCTATATATATTCCAGTGTAATTAGCATAAAACCCAACTGGCATTTGAGTTGGCCTTTGAAATGTTGCCAAATCACTTTCCACTTGAACATTGATTGATGATGTCGATCGTAAATCACACTTCAAACTCGAGTGACAATGCATCGTCCCCTTTTTGTGTTCTGGCCAAACAAAAGGTCGGCGCCAGCTCTGAGCTAACTAAGCTGCGGTAATCAGCATTTAATGCGCTCGATACGTGAGGCGCCAGCCCCAAGAGGAGCAGTCTATCACAGTCTATCCCTACACACAAACACACACACACACACATACACACACACACATCAACTACTGAGAGTCGAGCACCCTTAGCGCCCATCGGCGTGCAGGTGTCCAGGCGAATGTAGTTACAGCTCACATCAACTTTTTACCCTAGATTCAGTTAGTCAGTGACAGACGTCAGCGAGTGGGAGGGGCAGCTGGCCAGATGTCCAACTTCAACGGACAAACAATGCGAACAATTAATGAGTGAGCCGCGGTACGAAGGACGTTCGCGCTTGAGGGAAGTCGCTCATTTCCTTAACATTTGCGGCACAAACAATTTATGTGAGGATAATGAATGAATAAGCTGAGCAAAATAGCATAAGTGAATGACTATTAAATGCCCTGTATATTTGCTGAATATGTATTAGATATGTGATATATGCATATGTATTTATGTGGTATGTACCCTTAAGTGGGAGACTATGAGTTAGCTTATTAAATATAATTTTAATGAGAATTTGAAAATTG